ACCCATTGACTAGGGATTTTAGAACAGCAGCTAACTATCTTAAACAACTTTTTCCACTATGCTATATCTCAACAAAGTTGATAAATATTACTGAAACCACAAACAAGTGGACACACCATCACCAACATCTGAAGTGTCTATTTATTGTTACCCGTTGTTTGTGTAAAGTACATAGTAATTACATATACTATTTGGCACTAAATAAAGTGTTTAGTTTTTTTGTTAATGTGCTCAATGTAAAAATTTAACATTGTCTTGATAGCTTAAAATAACTGATTCTACTAAAATCCGTTGTCAACAAGGGAGATGTCCCGCAAATCGAAATGGGCATATAATTGGTATTGTATATATTGGAACACGTTCTCTTGATACTAATCAGACCAATCTATAGAACTAATATTACACCCTGATATATAATCTATTATATTTAATAGATTATCTATTATATATAATAGATTATCTCAACAAAGCACAACTTAACCAATAATTGTAAAAAGTGTATTTTAAATCTTGATTTCTTTGAAAGTAATCTATATCGACATATTGTGTAGTAGAAATGTTTGCACAAAATAAGTTGTTCTACTAAAAGCAGTTGTCAACAAGGGGTGTCGCAAAAATCGGAGTGGAAACACAATGGGCATTACCAAAAACCGGAAGGTCCGTGCGTATTGTCTTGCTGAAAATCATATTAATCTATAGAGCTGATTTTATAAGTATATATTAGATTATGTCAACGGAACACAACTTAACCAAAAATTGCCTTATGTAAAAACAAACTAAGAAAAAAAAATTAAAATAAAAGCACATATATAATTATTTATGTCTAGAAATCAATCATAGATATTCTGATATGGTTTCAAAACCTCTTTAATAAAAATGAATATGCGTTAAGGTCAGTATTTTACCAAAAAAAAAAATATACTTCGAAGCTGAATATTGCGTGCCCTTAGAGAAAAGTTTTTACCACCCTTTTCTGTACCTTCCTTTTCAATACCTTCGTTTTCTATACTTTCCTTTTCTATAGAAGGAAAGCAAATAGTGAAACCTGTCCGTACCAAAATCCAAAACGGAAATAGTTGCAAATAAAGTTGTAATATGAACCATAAGACCACATGCTCCACCCTGCAACATGAAAACAAACAATTATCAAACGTAGCACGATGAATGGCACAAGCACAAGCAGAAGCACAAGCACAAGGTACAATCAATCTAGACCACGCATGGGTCAAAGCACTGGGCAGATTACGCCCGCGAAATATTAGATTTGTTAACTGATTTGTTTTCGACAAATGCAAAAAGCAGTTCAGGTTCGCCTACATTTATGCGTATGCATACGCTTAAATTTCGCTAGCGTAATGTATTGTGGCGGAAACGGAAATAGGTACGTCTAGAAGCAATAAAGCGAAAGTGACTGGAGAAAAAAGTTTAAGCGATTTATATTACAATTTATTTGATATAAAAATTAGTTACCAACAAGATGTCTTCGCCTTATAAAAATTTAATATTTTAATATTTCAACTTTTTTGAAAAAATTCCTTCAAAAAATATGACAAAAGTGGCTGCCAAAAACATTTATTGCTTTCATAAGACGATTTTTAGTTGCCTTTATTTTAAGGATGCCAACAGAGAAAACAAATTCAAATTAATGTTCACTTCTAAATGAATAATAAAACAATTTATTTTTGTTTTCAATTCAATTAAGTGAATATTTATCTGTCATATCCTGGCAAAAAAAAAAGATATCTGCAGGACTCTTTAAATGTGCCAAACACTCGCTTTCATTTTAACAAATCGCCACTTGTGTATATCCTTGACACAATTGTCATAAAAAGGCTGAGGAAAACTATTCTCAAAATCATAAAATTAAATGTCGTTGACATTTTTTCGACCTCAATTGTGGATTAGTTTCAGATATTTAATAAACAAAAAACACAAATTTAGAAACTAAAAGAAAAAACAAGAAGTAAAGGAAAGAAGTTTAGTAATAGACTTTTAATCCTTAAAATTGACTAAAGTAATTTTGCTAGATATTGAAAATGTACTTATTTTAAATTGGGCTTACCTATTTATAGATATTCTATGTCTTTATGATATACGAAAAAAATTGGCAGCTTTCAGTACATACTTTAGTTAATCTAAATCTACAATATACTATATACAGTAAGGAAAGCAATAGTCAAAATGCCAACTAACAGCATTTAAAATACGGAAAAATGTGAAGAGCATGGAAAAAAGGAAACAATTTGGAAAACTCAAGTACTAATAGTACAAAGAAAAACAGAGAAATATTAAAATTAAGTAGAAGGATCCAACGTATCAGCTAACACTAAAAAAATGAAAAAAAATATATATATAAATAAGAAAAAATTATATTAGTGCATTAAATAAGTGAACATTAAAAAGGTTTCTATTAAAAATCTTAGAATTCCTTAAACGTTAATAATATAAAAAAACCTTTTCCTAAATCTAACAATGTATTGGTGATTCATTACGCACTAAGATCCCCGATGTAAATAACGTAATCTTATTGGACAGCCAAGCTGAAATCAAATTTCTGGTGGACGCAACAGTGATATTCTTAATAGTTCAAGAACTCCAGGTTTAATGAACTATATAGGTGTGTTAGTGTCCAGTTCGTGTTGGTACCTCGATACAGGGACATGTTGGGCAACTACAGGGCAGACAAGCTTACTAAGATTCGTACCCTGCTTCCTAGCATTTATTTCTCAGATATTGGTATTCCACTGGTAACGGTCAAGTTGGCAATCAAACAAAAATATCTGAGCATAACTGAACAAAATTGATCAGTTTAATCCTTCAGTCAGATCTCAAGATATAACTCACCAAACTAGACAAGAAACGTATCTGTCAGTTGCTTCAATGAAGGCATAACCTGCTAAACACTATGTTAAATGTACTCATGGTCCACTGAGTACTAAGAGATATGTTATGAGACTGGGTCTACCTCATAATGGTTTTTGTTGTGTTTGCGACTCTACGAATAGGGGGACACGAAACTGTATTCCAACTAATGTGTTGAAATACTCATAATTGGCACTCATAATTTTTTTTATTACCGACTGGACAAGCTCTCATCCTACAAAATTAGGGTGTAGACCAAGTTTGTAGACTAATCAGGCTGGTTTACTATCACTTGAATGAGGAAGAATATTAAGTAGTCATAAACCATATAATTATTTAATATGTAACGTTCATATGCTTCTTAAAGTTTTTCAAAATTTAAGCAACAAAACTTAATGTAAAAATCAAAGCAATACTTTTGATTTCAATTCCTTCTTTATTTTAAACTTATATGCTTACAAATGTTTTAATTAGAGACTTTGCTTTTTGTTGTTGATAAATATAATCACTTCTGATTTTCTTAAAAATGATAGATTGAAAAATCGATATTTAGACTCAAATAGTCTTCATAAAAACCATCAAAATATTTTTACTCCTTCGTATAGAGACGATAAGTGTGATAAATTACTCTTGAGATTTACAAAATCAATTAAATTAATTATTAAATTATATATGTGTTTATATAGAAAAAATAATTAACAAAAAAAAAAGAAAAAATTATTCATTGATTATGCAGACAGAAAGTATGAAACCTCGTTTGAAACGAAAATATCCAATATTAGTAATTTTTTCACCAATCAGATATTTCCGTTTAGTGCTAATGTTCGTAAAAACTAGACAATCCGTTTATTAATGTTGTTAAGTGTGATCGCTTAATAAATGACCAGTTTATTAATGTTGTTAAGTGTCACCGATATGAACTAAGTCTAATCACAAAATATTTCCAATTACTATGATGGCGTGCTATTGCTCTTAGCTCACTAAAAATTTCTTTACTGGTCTTTGCTCGTTTCTTTACTAATGGTTCTTCACCATGTTGTCCTCCGCCGACCGCGATTTCTCTTCTCTGCGAATTTCACTCGAGAGTACCATGAACAATTTCGGTTTTTGGCTAGCGGAGATTATGCCCCAGTCATCCGTATGTCATCTGATTTATTTCTTTATCAATTGGCTGCTGGTTAGTTCGTGTTATGAGGCGTTCATTGATAATAGTTCCTGGCCACTATATTCTTAAAATCTGACGCAAACATCTATTTACAAACGTTTGCAATTTATGAGTGATAGCTGTAGTCACATACCAAATCTCAGATCCTTACAGCAAAACAGATTTGATATAGACGTTGAAAAGTGACTAATACCGATTAAAATCTATAATATACATATATTAAAATTGTATACGTAATAAAAAAATTTACAGATTCTATGAAAAATTCAATTTATTACATGCAACACTCTAATCTGAACATTTTTTCTTAAATTTTTGTTTAAATTTACAAAACATGTTTATTTGAACAATCCAATTTTACAATCCTTATTTTCAACTTTAAATTAATAATGATACCTATGTTATCAAAGTTTGAAATTGATTCCTTAATGAAATTTATTTTCAATGAGTTTTAAATTTAAAATCCAACATGGATAGATGAGAATTAGTTTAGTTGCTTGGAACGTAAACTAAACATTAAAAAAATGATGAATGATGTGTAGAAAAGTTTCGAATAATGCATAAAACTGTATTTTTCTTCGTTTAAATGTCCAACATACAGTGAATATACAGAATGAGTATATTTATTAGTTTCATATATTCTAAATGAATTATATTGATTTCTAAGTAATTTACCAATTGTTTTAAAAAATTTTATGTTTCCAGAGTTCTTTTTTTAAACTTGAATACTGAATTAATTTACACATACAAGCCAATAAGTAAAATTATAAACTAATTAAAACTTTTAGTAATAAACTTGCATTATGCGCAATTTGATGTGAAATTGAGTAATTAAAAATATATGTACATACATATATTAAATATACTGCACATCAAACTCATGTAAGTAAAATTACATTTTACATTCAAATTTTATATACATTGTAAATGCTTACTATGAAATAAGGGACTTTTATATGAAAATTGTTTTAGATGTATTTTTACTTTTCAACACTTCCAAAACTTTTACACAAATAAAAAATTTAACTTTTTTAATTAATTATGTAGTTTATACTACATAAACCTACGATTATATAACATTTAAATTATTAGTTATTTGAATTCGTAACTCCCACTAACTCCGTAGTAGTCGTACTAACAGTTTGTTTGTCTGCTTTGCTCTGTGAATTCTTCAATTCTTCATCATCGGTTTCTGGATCTGCAGCTGAGTCTGGCTCAGGTGGGTGAGTTTCGGTGCTGTCATCATTTGAAACTTTCTCGCTATCTTTGTTATCATCCTCAGAATATGCTTCAGTGTCCTGATGTTTTTCGGATACATCATCTTTATTTTATTTGTTATTTAAATTAAAATTAAATTTAGAAATTCTTAAAAAAATATGTATATATTATACCTTCCATGCGCAGTATCATATCATTATCATTAGAGCATTTATCAAATTTCAATGTATTTGAACCTTTTATTTCTTCGTTGCCGTCAGCATTTTTGTCCTTCTCTTCAACGATATTTATTCTTTTATTTTCATTACATTCAGCAGTATCACATGTTTTTGACAAAGAACCTGTTACGTTATTTAATTTTGCAAAACTGGCGTCATCATTATCGCTATCATTTCCCGCAGTTGCGAAACTTTCTGCTGAAGATTCTACTTTAGAATCAATTTCACTAGAAACAGATACCTCCGGTGACTTTTTTGCTGAAGTCTCGTCTTCACCAACTGTCTTTTCATTCTGTTTATTTTCGTTTTCCTTATTTTCATTATTGTTAGGTATCTGCTTATCAGAATCTGTTTCTTTTGGATCATCGCCTGTTTCAGTATCAGTACCGCTTTTAGCTGCTGTCCGCGGAGGAACTTCAAACGGAACTACATGTAGACATTAGTTCAAA